TGAACCGAGCTTTTATAAAGTAGAGGTAACATGGAGGGCAGTTCTAGTAGCAGAACACTCAGGGAAATACAAGAAGTTTAAATCACGGCTCAAGTGTAGAAACACCATCATCGGTGTAAGGTTTCATTTTCCAATGCCACTAGCAGTCCATCAGAATAGCACACCTCATAAAGCACAATCATCCCACAAGCAGAACAGGCAGAACTTGCTCAGAAATCTATTTTGCCTTTACACCATAGAACAACCGAAGTAACTAACTCAACTATTAACTTAGCTTTGGCTCTGGTGTAGCAGAGGGGGAATACCTGTATTTTCTAGAATCCCTTCCGCTGCTCTGCTTACTGGCATGTGTTTCACAGGGAAGAAAAATGCCTTCTCGATTCAGTCCTACTCAGGGTAAAATCCTTGGGAGATTTAGCACAGGCTCACATGATGAAGCTTATCAGCTTTTCTGAATGTTACAGATTCTGGTAGTCCAGAGCAAACACCACACCTACTGAAAAAACGTAGGCTGAGAGCAGCAACACAGTAAACTCCACCACCGCTATCCTCATTTAGCTTCCGCCTGTCTCGCAGGAGCCACCTGCCCGTGCTGCCCGGGCCGGTGCTGCCGATAAGGACCAGGCAGTGTGGCCACGCACAAGCGGGGCCACGTCCAGACAAACCTTTGGGAGGGTCTCCCTAAGATTTCAAGGCAAAAAAAACCTGCCACCTCTCTGCAGGGCAGCGTTCGGATCTGTTACGGAATCTGGATTTCCCGGGTGATATCCCCTGTACGTTTTTCTTTTAAAAGAGACTTTCCTTGCTCTGGACAGAGAAGCCGGGGGGTCCCGCCAGCCCCAGGGCGAAGGTCTCCGGCCGGGGCACTCACCCGGCGGCAGGAAGAGGGAGCCCCGTACGCCTCCCTCCTTCAGCCGGATCCTCCGCACGCCCGGGGCCGTGAACCACCTCTCCACCTCGGCCTTGGCCACCACCGGCCCTGGGATGGCACTGGACTGGCTGTGGCCCTGGTGGACCAACATCTCCACCTTCATCGGGGTGCCGGTGCTGCGGGGAACGAGCCGCTGGTACGGCCTCTCCATGCCGGCGGGGGCGAGGCTCCCCAAAAGCCCCCCGGGGTCCAC